GGCCACAGCAGGAGGTGGGGACAGCCGCCCCCCATTGCCGGCATCACCGCCTGAGCTCCGCCTCCCTCCCCCGATCCGTGGGTACACTGTCCTCCATGGAGCCGGTCCCTGGTGCCAAAAAGGCCGGGGGCCGCTGCCCCGAGGAAATGGGTCTGCTGGAAAACGGTGCAGCCACAGGACTCGGACCTACCCCGCGTTCTGAACATCCGCAGCGGCCCTCAGACGTGACCTCGCCCTCACCTCCCTCTGGGGACACAGCACAGAGCCGTCAGGCCCGGCACGCGGGATCCCAGCACTGGCGTTAGCACGCGCCCGCCGCGTCAGTCCCGGAGCTTTCCACTCCCACGGGCTCACGGGACCCTCGCTGTTCCGTAAAGCGCGCCGGGCAGAGCGGCTCACACACGCTTCAGAGACAAGCTCGCAAAGAGGAGAGGCCAGAAGCCCTGTCCCCGTGCTGAGTAAGAGCCGGCTTGGAGGCCGCTCTGACGGCTGAAGGAAAGTAAGTTGGACACACAGAATCCAGTTGCGTCTCCAAATGCTGGCCGTGGACAGCGAGAAACTGAGAAAAATGCCATTCACGATAGCACCAGAGTGCAAAATCTCTATGGACGAGCTTAACAAAAGCTGTGCAAGACCCGAGTGTGACAAGGAAACGCCGCCTCGTGAAATTTAGTGACCAGAGGATCACACTGGGCTCCTGCCTCACTCTCAGACTGAGCGGACCAGTTTACTTGGATCAGAAATGGCTTGAGCCCAGTCAGGCCTGGTCACCCACGGCAACCTGCTGGCAGGACTTCTAGAACTGTCGGTTTTATCCAACGATTTAGAGAAACACGAGATTTTAACATTACTAGATGTGGATATTCCAAGGAATGGAATGCAGCGATTTCAAACTTTTGTGGGGGGAAAACATTTAAACATTTAGGGTCTGGTCCTTGCCTGTCTCCCACAGACAGGAAGAGAACATGCCCTGGTTCTCCCGCTGGCCTGACCAGTCGCCCCCAGCGGGGCCACCCACAGACGCAGGGAGCCCCGGAGTTCAGGGGGGGTGGGGGTGCACTAGCAAAGCAACACCTTGCCCTGTTTCTCCAAATTTCCAAGGCCAGAGCTGTGCACGGAGAATACATACTCAATAAATAGTTCATTAAGTTAATAAGAACTGCATTTGTGATGAGTTCTGGAAAGAAATTCTCAATAATGTGTCATGGTGGGTGGATTAAAGGCTACGGTGGCGGTACAGATACGAGACAGTACAGAACAGAGAGCCCAGACAAAGACCCCGGCGTGTGTGCGAACTCTGCCACGGACTGGCGTTGGGAAGCAGCAGGGAAACAACGAGCTCATTAGCAGTGACACTGGAAAAAGACACTTATTCTAGTGAAAAGTAAAACTGGGTTCCTACCTCAGAGCACACGCGCAGTCTACACGAGCTGGATTAGACACACGTCCTACCTCAGAGCACACGCGCAGTCTACACGAGCTGGATTAGACACACGTCCTACCTCAGAGCACACGCGCGGTCTACACGAGCTGGATTAGACACACGTCCTACCTCAGAGCACACGCGGTCTACACGGTCTACACGAGCTGGATTAGACACACGTCCTACCTCAGAGCACACGCGGTCTACACGGGCTGGATTAGACACACGTCCTACCTCAGAGCACACGCGCAGTCTACACGAGCTGATTAGACACACGTCCTACCTCAGAACACACACGCAGTCTACACGAGCTGGATTAGACACACATCCTACCTCAGAGCACACGCAGTCTACACGAGCTGGATTAGACACACATCCTACCTCAGAGCACACGCGGTCTACACGAGCTGGATTAGACACAAGTCCTACCTCAGAGCACACGTGCAGTCTACACGAGCTGGATTAGACACACATCCTACCTCAGAGCACACACGCAGTCTACACAAGCTGGACCAGACACACATCCTACCTCAGAGCACACGCGTGGTTGACACGAGCTGGACTAGACACACATCCTACCTCAGAACACACGTGCAGTCCATGCCAGCTGGATTAGAGACACACACACACAAAATATCTTTATGACATGGGATTAGGGAAGACTTCTTTAGCAAGTCTAAGATGCTCAAACCATAAAGGGAAAGATTGAAAAATTTTACTAGATAATAATCAAAAACTATAAAAGAGATTCTAAATAATGTTAAGACATCTGGTAGATTGCAAGAAAATATTTATAACATATGTAACAAAGGATCAATAGCCAGAACAAAGAATATCAATCCAATAAGAACAAGATAATCAGTGGGAAAATGGGGAAAAGATATCAAAAGGCAATTCACAGAAGAGGAAATCCAGTCCATTAACATCATAATCAGACTATTTGTCCACTCGAAACCACGAGAGGTTCCATCCACGTTCAGCCGCTACTACTGCCGGCATCGCTGCTGCTGACGGATGAGTCAATTACTTTGCTTTTGAGAGTCATTTCTGATCTGAGAACCACAATGACCCACCAATTCCAAATACTTTTATGGAGACATCTTGGGAGAGACACCGACATTTTAACAAAAGAAATGAAAAGTCCTGACACAGCGATATTTATTTTGTGGTAACTCCTGGATTTAATGATTGTCTCCTCATGAATATTTGATATTAATGTTCATCCGAATATCTTAAAACACCACGGGGGGAACCCCTCATGTTGCAGACAACTCGCGTGCGGGTGAGAAGCCTTTGCAATCCAGACAAGTCTGAGGTCCCCTGTTTCCTTCTCATGCACACTGATGGGAACAGACAGAACATTACTTTCAAGAGAGATGTATTCTTCAAGACAACTTTAGTTTTAAAAAAAATCAAAAGAAAAATTGAACAGTGCCTAAATCTTTATTTTTCATAACCTACATTTTTTTTCAAATTAGACATTTTTACACCGAATGACACAAAAGGAAACTTAAATTACCAATAGTTTACATGTAAGCTTGATTCCAGTCTCAATGAAAAAAAGTAGAACGAAAACAAAACCCTCGGAACGTGTCCACATCACACTCCCACTCGCGACCTGGCGGCCGTCGTGCGGTCAGTCTCCCTGCCGGCACCTGCCGCGCTGAGCACACAGCGACCGCGGCTCGCCGGAGGGGCACGAAGACAGGCGTGCGCCACCCACGACCTGTCGCCTGGATGCACTGAGCCAGCTTTTGACCAAACTGCAGGAATCCTGACTAAGACAGCAACGCAAGACGTGTCCTGCCACCTGTTCGCAGCAACCGGCGATGCGACCACAGGGTGACGGGTGGGAAACTCCAGGACAGCGGCCCGGAGAGCGGCCCCTCCACCGGGAATTCCCGTCTGGAACAACGGGGCCAGGTTTTACTTCCACCGTCTCCACATGGTAAGAAGCATCACATGGATTTATGATTTTAAGATTTCATTTGTCATTGCTGGGGGACAGGAAGGAGTTAAAAAAAAAAATGGGCGAAAGCCACTGTCACCGCCGCATGTGACACAGCAGTCTGAGGGTGCCGCCACCTCCCAGTGTGATAACTCCTGCTTTCTTCTGAGTGGAGAATCTCAAAGTAACATCGGAAAAGTTTTTTTGACATTACAGAGCTATTTGGCATGTCACCTTTGCTTAATTAAAAAGAATGCTATGAAAATCGCATCCAAGCGGAGCTGCAGCTCTTGATGCAACAGACCGTCGCTGGCTGGGCAGAAACCGCAGCGCCGCCCGTGGCAACTGCCACCGTGCCCATCCTGCTCTCCTGCAGGCGGCCGTGGTGCCGACACGGCTCTAACCACACGCGCCCTGTGCTGCGCTGCTCACACCTCTGGGGAAAGGGTTTCTCGTTATTAAAATGCAAGGACTTGCGTGGCAGGTGGGCAGGCGCTGCGGTTTGGGAACCAGGGCGGCTGACGGTGCCCGGCCGTCCCCCGCAAGGACGCGCCGCGGAGGGCCCAGGCCTGTCGCCTTCCCTGTGCCTGTTAGCTGGGGTTCAGAGGTCAGTTACCTCTGATGTTTTTGGTCAGTGATCTGACAACCACAAAGAAATAAATTCCCAAATTCCTCTAACAGGCATTTGGAAGATGTCAGCGGGGTGTGTATTTCTGGACGTCTGACCGACGGCAACTGTCGGGAAGGAGACGGTCACATACGACAGGCGTCTTCCTCTGGCAGCGTCAATCATGCTTGGCCACTTACGATTTTAATTAGTAGATAATTTTTTACCTTCAGATGAAGATCCTGCCAGTTTTTGCTTTCCATATTTTACTTTAAAACTCTTTCACATTAGATATGATCAGTATGTATTCACATACTTTTAAAAAGCGCATGAGAACATTCGAGGGCTTTTAATAAGACTCTCCATGTCCCGTCTGCGGCAAGGAGGCAGCATCAGTCCAACACACTAGTGTAAGAGAAAAGGAAAAAAAAACCTCAACAAATTAAAATAATATTCAAACCACAACATTTAGTTTATCTACATCCAGCTCAACGGCAACATTTATAATATATCAATAATTTGTATCAGATTTTTCTCTGTAGGGTACCTTTTTCATATGTTCTGACTATTTACAGCTGTACACGCAGAGCACACTCCCAAGTGCACACATTTAATACAGTATTGACCAATGGCATTTACAGGACCTTCCGACGATCCGAGAGAAGATGGGCGGTTCGGGCTCTCCACGGCAGGTCACAAACCACGGCGAGTCCTCGCGCTGCAGACGCCTCCTCCGCGGAACCGGCGACAGCCCCACATGCACCGAGCAGCTGGCCGCATGCCCGCCCAGCCGGGCTCCACGGACGTGGAGCTGTCTCGTACAAAAGTTAAGGCAAAGTCATTTTCAAGTTTAAATAAAATTCAAGTCTTTAAATATTGGATGGAAATAATTCTTTTCTTAAAAAAACCCCTCAGTCTTGTTAAATAACATTTTGTGGAATAAACTGTATGGTTACATTTAGCAGGAAATATTCTTACTTTAATGTTTGCTGCTTAGAATACTTAAAGAAGAATTTTAGGCATTTTAAAACAAAATAATTTATATTTAGCTTTATTATAAACTTGCTAGCTTAGTGCATCCTTGCTCTTCAGAAGTGCGGCACTTCTAGAAGCGAATCAACGAGACCCTCGTCGTGGAGGTGAAAGGGTGGGCATTTCGTCCTCCACCAGCCAGAGAGGGGAAGCCACAAACGCCATTCTCGCACGATCACATGACCCTAAACCACGTGCCGACGCAGAGGTGCAGGGAGACGTCCACGTGGCGCTGGTGGGCGTGGACTTTCCAATCAGGTGCTGGGGGGACACGGACGAAAGTGTGCGCGGAGCCGGCGTCGCCACGGGAGCTCACGGGGATCAGAACAACATCATGGTACAACTTCTGGTGACGTGTCAGTGGGCAACAAAGTTTGTATTTTCATTTAGGTTCTATTCACAATGTGCTTTGAATTTACTTTACATAATAGCCACTTGGAACTGGAGTGAGAAGCTGGTTACTTGCTTGCAGTACATCGGACTCAAAGGTCTCGGGTCTCCCCAGGTGCTCTCTGCAGGTTCATTCTGCCACTAGATCAAAGGACTCTGCGTCTTTAAATGCCAGAGTCCCCCTCACGGTTCGCAGGAGAGCACAGCTCCCGCCCGTGCTGGGCCCTGACGCTGCCGGCCCCTCCTCCTCGGGCCACGCCTGCCTCCGCGGGAGCCCACCGGCCCTCACCTCCTGCCGGGGCTTCCTAGACACACGCACCTGCAGACCAGGTACTGGAAAGTGAAGTAGCATCGTCCCCTAATTTAGAAAACTCACTCTGTGTAGCTTGCATTCAGAGCCACGTGGAGGCTTAATAAAAAACACCAATTTGTCAGGATAAAAGCATTTTCTATCCTGGAAAAAAAAATCTGACTTATGCATCACCTCCAGTTAAGCACCAACCTAAAATAAGGTTTATATTAATTAAATCCTGAAAAATAGATTTTTTTTCCTAGAGGGGAGAATCCGACTCACAGAAGGAAAAAACTTGCAGGATCCCACAGGCCTCAAACACTGCAAGCCCCTAACCAGCAACTCATCCTCGTACTGAGTGGGAAGAGCGTCCCGCGTGTGGTGAGCACGCTCTCTGCGGCCCGCCCAGACCTGCGGCTCTCACTGCGGAGACTTGGGGGGGGTGCTCTGTTCCCTGCTCAGGCGCTTCCCGAGGGCCGGGGGCGAGGGCCGGCGCCCAGGCTGCCGCCTCTGGTCTCTGGGGGCTCCCGGCGTGGACTTGAGGGCTGGGGGCTCCCGGTGTCTCTCCAGGGGCTCCGCGAGCGGCTTCTCCTCCTTCCCACAGCCCATGGCGTTTGCCTTCTGTTCTCTCGGGGGTTGCAAGGGGGAGGAAGGGGGCTCTTTACTCGTTCTCTGACAAATCTCTGCATAGCTGGGCTTTCGCAATTCCTGGAAACAGACAAACGTTGGATCACATAAAATGACAACTCCAGGGACAATACGGGGAATTACACTCACTTAAAAGACACTTCAGTTGTAACTGTAATATATTTCCGTCTTCACCAGGGATTTTAACTTTAAAAAAGTTCACAAAATCCGAGGATTTAGCTTCCCCTGCAGCAGGTCTTTCCCTCCAAGAGTCTTCCCAAAATGGACAGAACTGGAGCAGGTGTAGCGGTGACAAGTGCTGGCTGCCCTCCGAGCAGTGTGGACCCTGGCAGGAGCCTCACAAAAGAAACGACACCCCAGAAAAGACACAGACACGTTTGCTTCTGCCCCGCCACCCTGGGAAGACAACACGGCCCCTCACGTGACGGACGGAAGCTGCTTTAAAAAGGTTTCACACGCTCTGAACCGCAGGGGATAGACGCAAGTGCTAAGAATGACGAGGACGCACTTGCAGAGACGCGGAAACCACCCGAGCGCCCTCGACTGGTGAGCGGGCAAAGAAGACGTGGCACGTCCACGCCGTGGAGCACCGACCACCACAGAAAAGGGCGGTGCGTCTTTTGCAGCAACTTGGGTGGAACTGGAGACCGTGACTCTGAGTGAAGCATCTCAGGAACAGAAAAATAAACGCTGCCTGTCCTCACTGCAAGTGGGAGCTCAGCTACGGTGACGCAAGGCACCCGGGGGGCGGGGGAGGACGATGACACTGGGGACTCCGATGGGTGGGGGAGGGGAGGGAAGAAAAGCCACCCATCGGGTGCAATGTGCACAACTCGGGTGACAGGTACGCCGAGAACCCAGGCGTCACCACTATACCGTTCGTCCGTCTAACCAAAAACCACTTGTACCCCCTAAATCTATCTCAATATAAATAAAAACTAAATTAATTTTAAAAATTTAAAAATCTGAAGCACACAAAAACGAATGGTGAAAACAAAGGGTGACAGGGTCTTCAGGTAAGTGGAGGCATAAAGGCTAAACCACCAAAAACTCCGAAATATGTTACCTACGGAAACTGTTACCTTGATAATTTTAACCTATTAAAAAACCTTCTTTCAGACTCACCGGGTGGACAGTAAGGGCTTCAACTTCCAAATCTAAGGAAAAGCTCACGCAAAATCAAGCTGAGGGTGATGCGAACCAGAACAAGAGCTGGCCTCCCCATGGAGCAAGACCAGCAGACAGGAGCCGCAGGGAGTGGACCGGCTGGGCCCAGAGGGCTCGGAGGCTTGCGGGGACACTGACTTGTTCTTCCTGTTTCTTTCTCTTCTTTGGAGACAGGGTCTCACTCTGTCGCCCAGGCTGCAGTGCTGTGGCACGATCATGGCTCACTGCAGCCTCCAACTCCTGGGCTCTAGGGATCCTCCTGCCTCGGCCTCCCAAAGTACTGGGGTTACAGTTATGAGGCATAGCACCCGGCCCTTCCTACCTTGTTACCAGACAGGTAACACACACACAGGCAATGTGTGCTTGATCATAAATGCTACAGAAGATGGGCACTGGGACCTTGTTACTACTCCAGAGGCCTCTACGGACTGACATGGAAACACACGGCCGCTAGGCTGGAACTGGGAGATCACCAGGGTGGGAGTGGAAAATTATCAGATCTCCAGGGTATTGCGTACGGGAAACACGACACGTACAGACACAGATAAAAACCCACCCGCTTCGGTCTGATTTAAAATGATCTGACGCAGGAGGAGGGCACTGACCGTCTGGAGCAAGAGGCGCAAGGTACGTACCGTGGCAGCTCCGTTCACCTGCACGGATTTGCACGCGGTTGTAGTGAGGGCTGAAGGGAGCCTGTCCCCAGTGTGGGCTTCCCGCTGCTTCTCTGCTGCCTTGGGGTCCCTGTAAAAATGACACCTGATATTTGAATCTCACACAGCCTCACAGGCCAGTCAACCAGCGAACAGCCAAGTGCTGGCAGAAAGACAGTACTCACTCGGGCACGCGGGCCGGGGAGGGGCATCGCTCGTACGCCGCCGACACGGCACAGGAGGCCGGCACCAGGGGCTCTCTGGGGACAGCTACAGGCGTAGTGTTCGAACTCGCGTCTGCACTGAGGCTCTGAAAGTCACCGGGTAACAGCTCACGATGGGGCAGGAGCCTGCGTCCGACGTGCTACGGCGGGGAGGGCCTGACACGCGGCGGCGCAGAAACCTCCACCACGCTGCGCAGCCTGCTCCCGTCTCCCCTCGGCGCACACAGCAGCGACCCCCACAGACCTCACCTCCACGGCCGAGCTGCAGGCTCCTGAAGCCCCCGACCCACTGCGGCTCTGAACCCCGAGCGTCTCGTCAACGTGAGAAGCAGCGACGGAGACTGTGGCACTCAGCCGCGGGGTCAGGTTCAGACGTTTGTTTTTGTTTTATTTTTTAATTTTAAAGAGATTTATTCTGAGCCAAATTTAAGGACTACGACCCAGAGCCATGCCCAAGAGGCCTTGAGCAGGTGGACTCCCAGACATTTTTAAAGTAGCAATTTCTTCGAGAGAAATACACAGAAATTCACAACATACAAAGCAGTAGCTGCTGTTTCTGAAGCAGGGGTGGAGACGGCCGGGCCGACCAGGGGGCAGGCCACAGTCTGAAAACTAGAATTCACGATCTTTAAAGGGCACTGATTCTCGGACACCATTCCGTGAGGCATTACTAGCTCAGACATCACTGTGTGGAAATTTAAGGCTTACGATAATCTTTAGCACATGCCAAATGTAACGTGTGATTGCTGCCATTAAACATAGAATCTTGGAATGCACCCAGCCTCCAAGGTTGCAAACAGGAGCAACTGCCACCTCCTAATGCGAAAAGGACTAAACTTGTCACCTGGTGTTGGTTTCAAGACACTGCAGCCAAATCCACCCTAAACCCGCCCCAGACACTGGGGGACCGTCCCATCCGCAACGGTAGTTCTGGACTCGAGCTGTACAACGGTTCCTTCCCCCAAATCCAGAGGCCACGGAGCAGGGACTCCTCAGATCTGGGGGCAGCAGAGAGGGTGCAGTGCACGGACCTGGACTCTGGGGCATCAGCCAGGACGCTCTGCAAGCTCTTTCTGGGCACTTGTTGCGCACGGCCAGGAACTGGGCAGAAAACGGTTTCTATGCGCTTTCCAGAGCCTTCAAGCAACAACCCTGGCAGCAGGACAAATCCCGCCTTCGGGGTGGCGACCACGCTGGAACCCAGGAATACTGGAAATGAGCACGCCCGGCTTGTGTAGCTCAGGCGGATCCTCAGGTGACGGCCACTGCAGTGGGTGACAGCACCTCGTCTGACAGCCGAGAGACTTCGCCAAAAGCCACCAGGAATAGCTATTCCAGGCTTCTTGCTACTTGTCTCATGGAGATGACTAAAAATTATGTTACTTCCAGTATAATTCAGATTTTCCTGTTTTGCTCTGTTGTCTTATAAAACAAAGGCAGGTCTGAATAAAAACAGTGAAAATGCTACCTACGTTTCCGAGTGAGAGAGAGGGTCTGAACAGCACCCCAGGGCAGAGGTTTCTACCTCTGACCCCCCGCAGACAGCAATGGGAGGGCGGAGCCGGCACGGGTTCAGCACAGACTTCATCCCTCCAGGTCTGTGTGACCTTGCAAGTCGCTAACCTCTAACCTCTAACCTCTTCCAAGTGTTAAACACCAACGTGTGTAAGGAGCTCAGCCAAGTGCCGACGGGAAACCAGGGCTTGGTGACATCAGCAACTATTAGACACGCAAGGTATACTTTACCCTTTCTTTTGCTGATCCTACTATCAAGCCGGATAGCCTGTTTTCAAACAAGTCCTCTGCCTTCAAGTTGCCGGCAGCTCCAGGTAACGGGGGGAAGTTGGACAGCCCCAGCTCGAAGCTTGGTGATGGAGGCTTTGGTGGCGTTGGAGACTGCGTCTGGCTGTTCTGCAACAGAACGACACCCCAGAGTCATGTGGTGAGCAGAGAAGGCCCAAGAGCAAAGCAAAGGATCTTCTCCACATTTTCTGGAACAGTCTTCAAACAAACAACGCACAGACACCTCAACCAGACAACCCTCCACCACCCAGTCCAAGGGCCTCTTCCAGGCGACAGCCACCATCCAGAGCAGAGGTGTGAGGCTGAACTCTCGAGACTGCCGCTGGCCCGAGAGACACGTCACGAGGGACACGCGGTCAAGGCGCTGTCACAGAGCTGCCTGTGCCTGTCGGGGTCCTCTGCTTTCCTGCACCGTCGGCCACAGTGGGGGAGGGACAGGCGTGGGGGAGGGACAGGAGTGCGTGAGGACACAGTGACGGCTGGCCAGGGCGGAGGCACGAAATGACTCAAACCCCACTGGACACGTCAGTTATCTGAAAATTAACTTACCGAAACTCTTCATATTTTTAAATAACTATGCGAAAACACAGTACTGAATAAATTTCTATCAGATTCTTTGACTTCAGGAAAGTAAACTCGGTACTTTTCTAGAGAGCAGGTTTGAGGGGAAAGAAAAGGTAAACTTAGCATAACAGCATGTGAGTAGGATTCATAAGCCCCAGGTCTCAGGAGAAGGACAGGTGTGCAGTTTTACTAGAAATCATCACCTAACTTTAACAAGCCAGAAGCCATGTGTAAGTGCCGGTCCCATGGCTGACGAACACAGGACACGGAGAGGGGAAGTCAGTTTACACTCAGGCGGACGCAACCGTTTTTAGTTGGAAGCTGCTTCGACCAGGAAGCAAAGCTCTCGTGGGGCCCGCCAGACGTGAAAAGGCCCCCATTTCCCAGAAATTTAAACCAATAGGAGGAGGATCCCTGCGTAAGAGCTTCTAGAGAGAGTATGTCAGAACTGAAGCGAGAGCAGGTCAGGGACGAACGAATCCAGGCTGGCAAAAGCCACTGTCTGCTGGGGGATCCCTGCGTCTTGTGTGGCGCGGGTGCCCGGTTTACCTTACTGTTTCCGGTCAAGTGGCCCCACGGGTGTGGTTGGCCCAAATGCTCACGTGTTTGTTAGCCGTGTGCAAACTCCTGCAGCTGTTAGAGCACGCAAGCACGACAACAGGCAGGCTCCCCGTGACACACACAGCACCGAGCAACGCTCCTGAGCCCCTCCACGTCCACAGGCCTGAACACACGGACCAGGAGGACAGACAGAGCGGAGGCTGCTTCGCGCGGGCATGGCAGCACCTGCACGTCTCATGACCGTGTTCAGACGAGGGCCCTGTGCGTCCAAACCGTTACAGGAATTCACTAACTCCCGCTGGAATTCACTAACATAAACCGCCTTACCAAAGGGCCCATCAAAAAGCAGACTAAGCCGACCTCATCAAAGGTGTAATTTCTGAGTTTTGGACAGAGAGGATGCGTGTGCTGGACAACACACGAGGCAGCTCAGGGGCTGCACGGGGAGTTTCTCGAGGGCCTTTCCGGTTCTCCAAGTGTGGGGTGCTCGATACACCTGCGCGTCCCGGCGTCTGCTCCGGAACATCGCCACGTCAGACTTAAACGTCTCATAAAGATGACACACGCTTTGTGTACTCACTGTAAACTTCTCCTCTCTTTTCTTCCGATAGCCAAAGGAATTCTTCCTAGAGGAATGGAAAGTATGAGACCGTTACTTTTCTCCAGTTGGAAAATTTTCCACTGAGCGCGTTTGTGCTCACATATTCAAACCAAGCACCAATGAAGTCTTTATGACTTTGCCATCTTTAAAACATGACTTCCGGTTCTGAAATCCCAACCTTAAGAAGAATCGGCAAAACAACAACAGAAGGTTTATAGTAAAGGACTAACCCTGATGTCTAACAGGTGAATAAAAGAAAAACATTTATTAGAAGGACTTACCTAGTGGTCACTTAAAATTTTTGCTAAGATATGGGCATGTGCGCACCTGTTCGGCGGGAACGACAAGATGTACAAAATCTGACACTGACCCACACAGGTGAGTTGTGAAGGTGGCGGGGGAGAACTTACCAAGTGTGTGTTTGCCAACCGGCAAAATTTACAAGACCCCAAATGACCGGCTTCCCTGGCCCCAGCCTCAGCCTCCACTGCTCCGCCGTGCACACGCACAGAGGGAGCCACGCGAGGGCCTCTGAACTCACAGCCGTCTGCCCCCGCTCGCCAGCCTTCGGAACCGTGTCCTGCATTTCAGCTTTCAAAATCAGAGCCCTGCAGGCAGCAAGGAAGGCCGCACGCCGCAGCGCAGAGCTGCACAGACACACGCGTGTGAAGGGGCAACTTCACGTTGGGCCCTGAGGACACAAGAGGCCACGACATTTCCGCTGGCCCTGGACGGGCTTGTGTGGTCCAACAAGTCACACATTAATCTCAATGTAGGATTGTATTTTTATTTATTTATCCTTTGACCATTTCCAGTGAAGGCACAGACTCTCCAAGGGCCTTATATTACGTAAGCTGGAGAGGAGTTTAGAGATAATCTCGATGCGTTTCTTTATTTACAGAAAACCAAATGTGGTCTTGCCTGAGATAACACAACTAATTGAAACGGAGGCTGAGACCCCTCTCCACTTCTGTGCCAGGCGAAGGTGCCCTGTGCCCTCTGGCAAGCCCCTCCAGAAGCACGACGCAAACCTGTGGGATTCTGGAGCAGAGCCAGCTGTCGCCCGCAGACAACCACCCCACAGTAGCTCCTGGCTTTCTGCTGGGCCCTGGCAGAGCTGCAGGTCTTACTATGGGACAGGCGGTGACCACAGACTCGAGCCACCCACCCACCACAGCACACTGAGCTGCAAGGCAGGAGCACGCGGCCCAGCACGCCACCATCCTGCAGAACAGGTGGCTTGGCCCTGCACCGCCAGGCATCCTCACTGCGACCACCCCGCAGCCTCACAGGAAGCCCGACCCGGCAGGTCCCAGACCTGGATGCGGATGGCCACACGATAGCCCCAGCACTGCTCCCGTCAGGAGAGCACCTGGCACCACCGGGCGAGCACCGACCACGGTGTCTGCGCTCAGCCTCGGAGCAGGGACTCGGCACAGGCACACAGCCAAGGGCAGCCTCGCCGCAGACCTGACCACTGGGGCCGGACCTGCCCGCCCTGGTCCGCCCCACACCACACCAGTGGAACCAGACCTCCTTCCCACGCCCTCACGGCACTCCACACAGCCCGCGCCAGCCCTGGAAACCCACCGCTCAGAGCGCAGGCCAGGAGGGCCAGGACTTGTGACAGGGCCGGGGCACGTCCCACTCAAGGGGAGGCGTGGGCCCAGCATGGCCCCACAGTGGAGGGAGTAATCACCGTGACACCCACAACTCTGAACGTGGTGACTGGGATGCCTTGGACCGGAAGCAGAATGCTTTCCTGGGTGACAGCTGCAGTTCCACCGAGGCAGACGTGACCACCTGGCACCTGGGCCCCTCGCTCCACTGAACCTGGCCAGGCCGGCGCACCTGCCGCGGCTGCCGTGCACAGGGTAGAGAAGCGTGCCTGGGCCCTCAAGGGTTCTCTGAGGCCTCTCAGTGCCTCAGTCCAATAGAAAACGTCCGTGGGAAACAGGACAAACCCCCCCAGGAGGGACGTAAGGGGACGTGCCTGGTGCGGTTGGGCCACCCTCCTGCGGGAGAGCTCTGCAGACGGGAAGCACACACACATGCCCGTGAATCAAACCACTCTCTCTCCTGCTGTGCTGGCCGTGGCCGTGGCCCTTACGTTTCGGATTACTCAGGTGGGAGAACAGTAACCCTCTCTTGCTGGGGAGACGGGGGAGGTGGTCCCCATTTGTATAAAATCTGCATATGTCAGGCCAAAGCATACACTCGCTACAGCTGTGTTGGGAAGTTCAAACGTTGTTGAAGGGCGCACACGGTGGGTCGTGCTTGTTAACAAGACACTGCTTCTCAGCCCCAAACCCACCTTTCCATGCTGCTTTGCGATGTGGTCGGATTTCTGCAAACCCCAGATTCTTCTGCCAGGAAACCTCCTGTCAGGCTTTGGCTAGCGGGGTGTGTCCTCCCATCTATACCTTCCTGTGGCCCTGGCGGGGGCAGGGCCCTGCCCCTCGAGGTCTGAGCCCGGCGGGCCTGGGCTGGGAGCTGCTCCCTGCAGTCACGGGCTCTGCACGCCCGCGTCTCCCTGCCTTTTCCACCGCCAGCCCCGTGGAACCGCCCCACGCCACATGCTCTGTGAGACGGCTGGTGTCTCCCGGCTGAGCCGGGGCCGAGGGCGGCCTCTCCACCCCACGCTCCAGCCAGGGCTTCCCAAATGCCAACTGGCTGCTCCTGGGTTCCTCTTATGTTTAACTCTCACCCCGCGCCAGGAAGGAAGAGGAACCAACACTTTTGAAGCTTCTGGATGTCCAACATTGTGTTATACACTTTACACAAGGATAACTCAGAAACAACTTCCTTTACATTTTTTGGGGGGGTACAGAGTCTCGCTCTGTTGCCTGGGCTAGAATGCCGTGGCGTCATCCTAGCTCACAGCAACCTGAAACTCCTGGGCTCAAGCGATCCTCCTGCCTCAGCCTCCCGAGTAGCTGGGACTACAGGCATGCGCCACCGTGCCCGGCTAATTTTTTCTATATATTTTTAGTTGTCCAGCTAATTTCTTTCTATTTTTAGTAGAGAGGGGGTCTCGCTCTTGCTCAGGCTGGTCTTGAACTCCTGAGCTCAAACGATCCGCCTGCCTCGGCCTCCCAGAGTGCTGGGATCACAGGCATTAAGTTCCTTTACGTTTTTCATGCCAGGTTACGGACGAGCCAAAGCTCAGGGAGGCTGAGCTGCTGCTCATTCTCCTCAGAGGGCGACCAGAGAGAGGACGAGCGGGACTCGCCCACAGCCTGCGTCCATTTGTCTAGCCTCACCGAGCAGAGGTGCAGGTGCCGGACAGCACGGCAGAGTGAGACAGAGCAAGCCGCGCCAGAGGGCCAGCAAGGACCCAGGTGACGCCAGAAGATGCCGAGGGTGTTCGACTGTCCCTGAGGGCGGGGCCGTGTGGCAGGCGGGCCCCACCTCACAGTGACAACGTCTACTCCGAATGAACTCAGTAGGGACGCAACTGAAACGTCGCTCTGCTCGGCCACTGCCCCTGGCCATCTGTCGCACCTCACGGCACACGCAGCCACACAGGGCAAGGCCAGAGGCAGGAGAGGGGCTTGGGGGCCGGCGATGCCGCCACGGACGCTGCAGGAACACCGAATCTGGACGCCAAACTCCAAATCTGCCACGAACAATGACCGCGACCTAAAGCTGTGCATTTCCACCTATAGTTCTCATTAAATAATTTCTCTGCTCTCAAAGTAACCACTCGCAGCAATTATATAAACCTTTCATGTTTATAGCCTTCAAGTAGGTTTTCTGTGATATATTTGTAAATAGTCATAAAATATATCAAAATTAAAGGATTCAAAAATATCGACAGTTTATGACAGGTACGTAGCACCTGCCCGACAACTCACCTTCCCCTCCCCAAGCCAGGCGAGGACTCGAGGCTGCTGGGCTCCACGCGCCCGGTGCCAACCTCTCTCTTGGCGTACGCGGAAGGGTTCTGCACCCGCGCTCTGGTTTGACCTGCTTGTCGTGTCTGTGGGCTCCGGACACCGTTAATTAATCGATCCGCAGTGAAGTTGAATATCGAAGGGCTTTCTAATAACCCCGGTCCTCTTTCTGCACTAGGAATCGTGTGGCGCAGATGAGATTTGCTAGGATTCCTGTAAACGAAACGTTTGCATATGCTCAGTTATAAAACAATCCAGGGATTACAAAATGAGCATGCTAATGTGGAACATCTAAGCTAAAAGCTCTTTTCTATTTAATAAAATATAAAACATTACTTGGCAAAGGTTAACACATCACATTCAGGACAATGCAAATCCATCAATCATGAGCCGAGACCCTGCTTCTCGGTGTTAAGTCCGGGGCCAGATTAAAAACCAGGCACGCATGGTACACGCATCGCTCCCAGAGCCCACCCAGGCAACGACAGCAGATTTCAGTGTTTAATCTTTACAGAATGCAACGGTGTGCTTCAGATGGTTTGCTCTGGTGTGCAAGCCTGGTGTCGAACATGTCTCATCACAGGTCCTGCAACGCGGCAGCGTGCAGCTCACACGCACCGTCATCTCTCGGGGAACTTGCCTGCTTCTAGGAGGATACTGTCTGAGTGACGTCAGCGGAGACGCTGCAGGTTTGAACGTTGGAGACGTAAACCCGTTTATAAATCCAGTATTTGGGAATGGAGTTACCTAGATTCATTAAAAAAAAAAACAAAACAACAAGTAAACAAACCATGAAACAGACTTCAAATTGGTTAGTCCTAGCATATCTGCGGTAACCGAGGTCATTTCTTGACCTTGACAAGACGGAATGCCCCACGTTGCCCTTAGAAAATAATCACAGGCTGAGAAAGCGTGCTGCATGGTTATCGCTGATCGGTGGTGTTTACTGACCACTCAGCGATGGCCCGGCTGGGGCTCGGGACTTTTTTTGCTCCCTGTCAGTCAACCCTCACAATAGTCGCCAAGGAAGACGATTCGCACGTGTAGAAAGTGACAGTAAGAGAGAAGAAACTCACTCAAGTCACATGGGTTCCTGAACACGGGAGATGTGACCTTCAACACACTGTCTGGAAAAGCCCAAATCCTCACCCTCATGCTCACTCACGATACTCCCTGCACTCCCGGGAAGAAGTACACGGTTCTTCCTTATTCCTGATGACTCCACTACAGCTCACTCAAGTTCAACCTCAGGACCACGTCCAGACCTACTGTGACTCACACAGCCCACTTCGCACCACAGCGGGCGAGGGCTGTCCTTAACCTCTGCCTCCGCGCAAGGCCTGCTCTGAAGAGCAGGATATTTTCAGACCATAAATAATTATTCCCCAAGTCACAGTCTGAAGTGACACATGGCATTCAAATATACTGACGTAAGATTCAGAAGAAAATTAGAAGGGGCTACACAGGGCATACAACCCTAACAAGCATATACGGCAGTAAAAAGTCAAAAATATTAAGCGTCAAGTTTTAAATATCAGCCAACTATTTTTCAAATCTAGACACATACAAAAGTAAGATAAAACTTGGTGTGGAAACAGTTCTTTGAAAAGAAAAGGGACGAGAGCAATCACTCTGGCTTCTGGACGTGTGGCCCCCAATTCCCTGACCCGACTTCCCTCCCACGCACCTGACCCCACGTTTCACTGAGGTCAGAGAGACATAGGCCCTCCTCAATGGAAACAAGGGGAAAGAAATAGAAAAGAAAAAAGCAAGTAACTCTCTTTAACGAGAGCTAACTGGAAGCTATGATAGAAAAGGAGGCTTAGAGACAGCCTAGGCCCAAAGTAAAATCATCCCTGCCTTACGACAAAAATTAATGCAACAAAAGGGGAACACTGAAAACTGTCAGAATCTTCAGTTTACACCTTGAGAAACTCTAGTCTGCAAGAATCAGACTATTTAAAAATACAACACTCCAGAAGAGCTATTAATTCAGACTTAGATTTTGTAAATTATAAATCAGTTAAGACTAATAGAGACCAATTATTTCACATACATGATTTTCCACACAGAACTCTGGTATTTGGGTAATGCTGCTCAAGAGTTAAAAAATAAAATTGGTTACATAAAAAATAAAGCTGGTCATCAACACAATAACTTGATACCCTAACTTGCTGGGGACAGACAGGCCCCGTCTCCCTGCTGCTCCAACGTGAGTCAGCGCTGGCGCCAGCCCACGAGCCCTGACGCCACAGGCCCCGCCAGGCCCAGCAGCCGTTGCAAGCAGCGACCTGGATGGGCAATGCCAGGAGGGCCCGTCCACTCGGGGCAGGTGTGGCCACAGGGCGGGAGGAGCAGCTGACCGCACAACTGCACGCACGGGCGTGGCGCTGGCCGGGGCTGGAGAAGATCACTCAGCAGCAGGCCTGTGCCCACCGACGTTCTCTAAGGTGCCCTCGTGATGCGTTTTTGGGGAAAGGAACTACACAGCTACCGGTGCACTTTTATAATGGAATAGTGCTGCAAGAAAGCAGTACATTTTCTTACCAACAGGATTCACTCAAAGAGACAGAAATAATTTGGATTTTAGCCAGTTGCATGCCAAGTGTTCTTTTACTGCAATTGTCCCAGACTTCCAGGGAACAGTCGCGGTCCCTCTTAGAATCTCTCCTAAAATGTCTCTGTCCCCGCCTGTCCCTCATAGGACCATGGGAGCTATTTTCTAAGTGGAGTATGACTTCATTTCCCTGCTCAGAAACCTCAGATGACTTCCCACGAGCCACGAGGTGAAAGCCAACATGCTTCAGGACAGTCCAGAGCCTGCAGGTTGCCACCAGCCTGCCCCGGCTCCCTGTAGAGAGCCTGCAGGTTGCCACCAGCCTGCCCCGGCTCCCTGTCCAGAGCCTGCCGGTTGCCACCAGCCTGCCACGGCTCCCTGTCCTCCCTTATCAATGTTAAGTAAACTTCAGGTAAAGACAAAACCTACCAAGGGTGGGTCAAGATAGCTGTGCGCGGCCGACCAGGTCTGGGGCGCGATCAGGCCGTACAGGGGGAACTGCTGCTGGGGGCTGTACACTGGAGGTAAGTAGAAGGACGCCGTGTAGCGCTGCTGCATGTAGAGGTTCATGTCCAGAGGTCTGAATCCATTCTTTGGCAAAAATGTGTTTATAGCTATTGCCTTTGCTTTTATCCGTGCCTGTTTGAAAATATTTCAGTTTCTATCAGAATACTTAAAAGCATCAATTGGCAAATAAAGTATAACCAACAGTCTTGCTTACCTTAATTGGCTTTCCTTGAAAAGTTTTGACTTCTTCTCGAAGGTATTTGTAAGCCTAAGGGCAAAATCAAGTAGATAATTCCATTCTGTTAACCTCGTAAGATGAACTGACAGCTAACTCAGTAGCTCACATAACCAACCACGTCACAAAAATACGGTGAAGAGGGTCCAGGAGGGTGATTCCTGGCCCTCTGGGTCACACATTCCTTAAAATAACCTCATAAGAGCTACAGAACCTCTATCCAAAATTTCCATAAACAAGATTTGTATGCAAGCTTTTAAGTATTAATAGATATCACAAAAGTCTCCCAAAGCCCACAGGCTAAGGATCCTAACCTAGGGAAAACGATGACCACCGAGTTCTTAGTATCAATCCCAATTTCAAATTGGGATTGAGCAGTTCAGGAAAGGAAATGCTAGACAGGAAGGGAGAAGATTAGGATCGTAATAATCAAAAGTTGTTATTTATGTATCTCTTTGTTCTTCTCCAAATTACCTCTCCATTAACCCTACCTCCCCCTGAAGGCTCCGTGCGCCCCAACGCCAGCCCACGGGCCAGGCTGGCAGAGCTCACTCTGCCCCACAGACAGGAGAGTCTTATGTCTCACTACCCTTCTTCCCTTCTGTGCAATTCAAACCCATCTTTCGGCTTTGTGTCCTCGTCTCCGAATCCCCGACGGCATCTACGCCATTCGACACAGGCTAGCACGCTGGCATTCCTTCACGCGTGTTAGTTTGTTTCCCTCAAACAAGATGCTCCCGTCAAGGGCGAGAAAAGGACCTGAACTCCTACGTCTCCTCACAGAACCTGCTTCTCTAACCCTGTAGTAGCATCTCGCAACTCGCAACGATGCTCACTGAAGGATTACGGTTACGTTCAAATTTCCCCCAAACACTTTGCAAATAGCAGACCTTTCCTCTGCCCAGATGCGAGAGCAGAACTGATTTTCTGAGGCTGCTCTGTCTCACCATGTCCTTAGAGAGTATGTCACCTGCTGTTTCTATTGTTACAAAAACTGTCTACACAAACACACCCATTGAAGCTCCCTCAACTCGATCTTCTCTGCACTTTACACTCAAACTTAACATCGTGATGAGGCGGTGATCTCGACGCGCGCAGTCCCGGCATGCGCTACCATCCCACGCTGGCAAACCGCGCGCTCGGTGGGGTGGTGGGAAGAACATACCTGTTGTGCGTCAGCTTCTGTCTCAAATGTGATGAACCAATTATCGTTATAGGCAAATTCACAGTTTATAAATTTCGGTAAATTATCTCCTTTAAATAGTGCTTCTACTTCCTACAGGAAATAGAGATTTTAGAAATTAATTCTCAACCATGCCACTTTTTGTTCTCACCAGAATTTTTTTTAAAATGCATCCTCTTCAGGATCTACCCTTAAAGAAAGTCCAACATACCACGATGCCTAGAAAACCTCTTTCAAAAAAGGCTGAAGGGCACAGTGGGCTCCCAGAGTTAGAATCACAACGCCATGGCAGACGCACAACTTACCGGCAGCTTTCTCTACTCCTGAGACACCAGCAAGCCAAACTGATATGAAAACAGCACACCATTTTACCACTAGGCTGACAACTACGTAACTTTGTAAAAAAGTAATTTAAGAAATAAAAATTACTACCTGGATTTTTGCTTCTGGCCAAGATGAACTAGATTCACCCTCCCATATGACACGATTAAATACAAGAGACAAAACATGTGACAGGTTGGCTTTGAGACACCGGACACGAGGCAGCACAGGAGAGAGGGGATGTGAACACGGTGAGCCCCACAAGTGCCCTGTTCACGCCTGGAGTCTCCAGGCGGCACAGCGCAGGGGAAGCTACAAAGGGCCCTCACCAGGCCCCCAGCCCGAGGCAGGGGGACCACAGCCCCAGAGCAAACGCGCCAGGAGGGAGGCTTGTCTCACGTCACAGGGTGCTACGAAGCACTCAGGGGCACTGCCCCAGCAGAGGCAGAAAGGAGCCCTGGAGCAAAGGCTGCTCTGATCCCACCTGGCAAATACCCCTTAAGGGTCAGGTGGTTCCGCATAACTTAACTGCATTTCAAAACAAAGCTCAAGAGATTTATAAAAATGCAAAAATATTTGGTAAAGTAAAATCCAAATGACTCCAGGTGTGGAACTTGGCTGGACTCCTCATCTGTGTTTCACGTCACAAGTGTTTAAACCCCACACACTGGTCCACGAGGACGGAAAGGCTGAACCCCGGAAGCACGAACAGAAACGCCTGTTTCCTCTGCGGAGAGAGCGTCTGGAGACACGGACACGAGCGGCTCAGGCTTAAACCGTGGGACACGAGACAGCAATGACACGCTAGGCTTCCTGAGCTCGGCGAGGGTCCCCTGAGCAGGCAGACGCCGTGCCGCGAGGGAGAGGAGCTGAGTTCCCAGCCTCTCGAGGAAGCCCTCCCTCCGTCGCGTCAAGGCAAAGCCGTCAGTGTGTTCGCCACACGATGCGACTTAGTTTAAGCACCTGGACAAGCAACACTTTACAGCAACGCATAACAGTACATTGCTTTTCACTGTTCTTAAACTATCAAACACTGTGGTTCCCCAAAACTACTGCCCAAGTTACTGGTTCTCTAGGGGTGATCTCCGGACCTCATTTTCACAGCAAAAGATTATGCCTTTTTTACCCTGAAGATGTGTGTGCTGATGGCGCAGAATCCCTGGTGAGCAGAGAGCGGGCACCGGCCGCGGCCAGTGGCAGCACACTGGTGCCGGGGGTTCCTCACGAAGCCTGCCCTGCCACACAAACGTGCTGCGAAAAGTTACTTATCACAAAAGTGCTCTTCAACTTCACTCGTGGGTTTACTGTTCGTATTTTTAAATAAATATTTAATTTTCTTGTGATTTCTAAATATGGAAATACACAGATCCTATCTTTCTAATGCACAGTGTGTGAAGGAGTCCTGTGGCCGAGGGTTTGAGAACCGCTCCCTCCTACACGTGAATCACACTGTAACCACCCAGAAGTGTGAATCCGGGAACACAGGGCGACCGTAAGGATTTATTCTTAAAAACACACCCTCCAAAAAAAAAAAAGTGAAAAAAAATCAAAGCCAACAAGGACCCTCAGGAAAACGTCCAAGTGCCCTTCAGAGACGCTACTCACCTCCACAGGGGTGGACTCGGGTATTTCACGCAGAATCACGATGCAGCGATTTTGATTTGGCCGCACTTTCTCTCCCTTCTCATCCACTTGGACTAAAGGCAAAGCTACAAAGACAAGGAAAATCAACGGTAAAAAAATACTAAAATACGATACTTCCATGGAATATGTTACGCCATATGACTAAAGAAACCTGTAAACAGAGCAAACTGTCAAAAGTTTTACTAGTCTAGCAAAGGCTATCAAAAGGTTTTAAAACCAACCTTAAATTTTTCGAAAGTAAGAAATATGGAAATCTAAAAACTACTTAACATTATGTAACACAATGAAACAAAGGTTCCAAACAGCTCAAATACTAAAAAATAAAAGTAAATTAAAATATATGGTAGATGGCTTTTTCCTTTCAAAAAGTCTCTAAAATAAAATAGTTTTGTCTTATTATAAAATCTGTCATTTTGCAATAGTTTTCTAAGACTCACGAAGTTCCTGAGTGTCCTGCCCAGGCGCTCCCTAACGCAGCATCTCCCATACCGCCGTGCGCCGCCAACAAAAGGACAGGACACGGGCCGGCCGACGCCAGCAACTCAGGAACAGCCTAATGTGGGCGGAGCCAGTTTTACAGGCACTCCTGTTTGCTAAGTCTGTGTGCTGATGTCACTTGTATGAAATCACGTCATGTACAGACACGAGTCACGGAACACCACGACCACGCTCAGAGCTCAGTGGTGCCACCAGCACGACGACACGCATCACCAGCCTCGGGAACGAAAACGCCAACATCACTACAGCTTCTACCGATACTAAAAGGGCACTGAGAGAATATTATGAAACATTTCACGCTAATAAATCTGAAACATTCCTTAAAAGACACATTACCAAAGGTCACTTTAGAAGGAGGTAATTGGAAAGACCTGTATCTATGAAAGAAACAGAATTTGTAATTAAAAATCTTCCCACAAAGAAAACTCAAGGTCCACACGGTTTCACTGGAGAATTCTATCCAACATTTAGGTGAAACGTATTACCAATTCTACAGCACGAACCATTTCATAAAACTACACGAGTGAATACTACCTAACACAATTTCCATACATAACTAGAGTTGATTGAGGTTAGCGTGGTTTTAGCATACAGTACAAGACTGATATACAAAAGTTAATTGTATTTCCAGATATTAGCAACAAACAATTGGAAATTAAGATATCATTTACAATAGCATGAAATACGGTCATGAACTGCTCGAGGATTGGAACGTGTTCTGAGAAATGCAGTTCCGTGAGTCACGGCTGCACGGACGTCAGAGTGTGCACATACACACCTGGACGGTACAGCCTGTTGCACACCTGGGCAGTGCGGGACGGCTGCTGCTCCTGGCCTACAGACCTTTATGGCACGTGCCTGCGTGGAATCCCACAGGCAGCTATGACACAAAGGCAAGCAGCTGTGTGTCTAAAAGTATCTTAACAAAGGGAAGGTACAGGGAAAAAAGGTATTATAATCTTACGAGACCACACACACACACACACACACACAGTCGGTTGTTGGCTGAAACGCAGTCATGTGGCTTATGCCTGTACTTCTAAATCTGATCAAAGATATGAAAGAACTGTATGTTGAAAACTGCAAAACACTTCCCAGAGAACATTTTAAGACCTAAATAAATGAAGAGATGGACTCCGTGCAGTGGCTCACGCCTGTAATTCTAGCACTCTGGGAGGCCAAGGGGGGAGGATCACTGGAGGCCAAGAGTTGAAGACCAGCCTGAGCAAGAGGGAGGCCCTGTCTCTACTAAAAACAGAAAAAATTAGCTGGGTGTGGTGGTGCACACCTGTAGTCCCAGCTAACTGGGAGGCTGAGGCAGGAGGATCACTTGAGCCCAGGAATTCGAGGCTGCAATGAGCTGTGATCACACCACTGCACTCCAGCCTGGGTGACAGCAAGACCCATACATGTTTTTATACTATTACCACGTACCTCTGAATCCATTAAAAACATACACTTCAGTTTTACACATACCCAAACTTTATATATACGGTGTCATCTTGCACATGTTTAGAAATGTTTTTATCAACATTATTTTAAAATTTACTCTTGTTGAAAATGTAGGCCTCGTTCACTTTAATTTCAATGATTTTAAGGGTAAAAACAAAGCACTTGACTCAGATATACTGTGATGTACATGGTATGTACATGAAGATACAAAACAGTCTAGAAATGTAATTTACACAACTGCATCAGCACTAGAGTTGCAGTATTAAAATTAAAATACTCGTCAAGTGTCTACTGCGCCTGATTCTCTGCTAGGTATTTTGGGGATAAGACTTAAACATAAGATGAGAATTTTGCGCGTGGGGCCTTATTTATGGCATCCTCTTCTGAATTACAACTCACACGCTAACCATATTCTGACTGCATGGGTTCCTGCAGATGCACGTATGTTTCTCACTGTCCAAAACTGACTGAAAAAAGACAACGAGACGCTGAAGAGCCGAACAGAAATGGATACAAGGTGACGATTCAAGAGTCTCCAGAAGTACAGTCCTGGAGAAGGCGGGTGGGGCTGGGGAGGCTGATGGGGCCACGCACGGACAGGCCGGCTCCCGTGAGCACCTGCACGGACCCCCGCTCGTCTGCACCAAGGACCCCCAGCCAGCAAGACTCAGCTGAGAAATCACCCTCCGTGGGGCAGCGAAGTTTGCAACGTGTGACTGAAATGAATAATCTGGGCTTCCTGAAGATAACCAAAAAGACTTTTACAGAGTAAAGTACAGAGACAAGAAAGCTGCTGGTCTTTGGAAAATGCAGCCCAATTCCATGGACACGGGTAACAGGTTTCTGTGCGAAACGGAGCCCTGGAAAGCACAACCCCCCACCCCGTGTGCCGTTCTCATCAGTTTGCCGGTTTCCTCGCCACTTCCCTCAGCAGTTTAATAACCTACTTCTGTCGAGACAGAAAAACAGAAGACCACTATTTGTGAATAGAAAATCCAACTAAGTTCTAAGGTAAGAGCCTCACCTTTTTATACTATTGTTAAGTCAGATCCACACGAGGAGAAAAGCACCCCACACTGACTGTCATCAGTGCAGCTAAGCCAGGGACACCGTGACACCGCTCCTGCACGCGTGTAAGCAAGGGAAGTCACGGCAGTGAGCGGGTGAGGCTGTAAATCGGGCAGAGCACCGTCTGATCGTTCGAAACCACGCAGGTGAGCAGCGGGGGGCACAGCGCCATCCCTGGCTCCCAGGGAAAGGAACCACAGCAATAACTCACCTGTATTTGGGGCCCTCCTGTACAAAGGGAATTTTTGTAAGTAAGAACAATCCAATTTAAAGAGAAATCCAACATATCCCACATTTAATAGAGAAGGAATCCACAGCGAAGTCTTCCAGGCGGGCACCCGCAAAGGGCGGGGGGACTGTCCGTGGGCCGCGTCCCCTACATCTCCACACCCACTGTGCGCCTCGAATACGCACTCTCGGTGTCAGTCACACCTCAGTAAAGCTGGTTTCCTTCTTTTAAAAAAGAAATAAACAACACAGAGAGGTCGTAGAGGCCTAAATCTGCCAGGACACAAACTACGACCCTGACGAGAGGCAGAGATCCACGCCCTCTGAAATCCTGCGGGTCTCTAATGCAACTTTTAGACATTCGTTCGATGTTGCCCAATTTCGCAGAAACAACTTCATTCACAATATCCTTTTAAGGAAAAATGCAATAGTATTTCATCAAAACTTAAGCAGGAAGTTGAAATTTTAAAGAAATGCCTTTAGTGGCAAAAATATAATCAAAATGCATTTTCCTTTAACCATGAATATTGTTACCCCCGTTTTGTTTTTCACGAATCTCACAGCTGCCTGAAAAATCTTCACTACAAAGATTCTTTTCTGCTTTGTATGACCCAAAACCTGTGTGAGGCTCAAGATGGGTTCAGCGGGGCGCCAACACTGCTGGGACTGCCCAGATAGGAGCGGGAGACCAGGGAAGGAAGCAATTCGCCGCCAAGTTCCTGAACTTTTGGTGTCTGTAGACGTGAAGGTTCCTACCGATAAGACACACGTCATAAAGGCAAGTCTTACTCATTCAAAATTGTCGTTTACTTACATCTTAGCACTTCAACAATTAAATCCACATCGGTGCTGAGCTTCTTGATATGGTCCAGGTTGGCTACCGTCTTAATTGGCACGTACTGATCGCTATCCATCTGTGATATGAGATACATATCACTGGCAAGATTCTCCCTGTTGAAAGAAAACAATCTCTTTTAACGAGCATTTTTTAAAGGGAAGTTTCGTCTATAGCAATACCCGTTTCACAAGCAGTGTGGGTGTGGAGTGGCACCGCTTTGGAGTTAGAGCAGAGTCCAAACTGCGTCTGCTATTTGCCACCTGCCTGGCCTTCGGTAATTTTTTCAGAGTGTCTGTCTTGGAGAGGCAAGAGAACAAACGTACAAAGTATACTTCATTTTATACAATTAAGATTAACGAGCGATAATCCTAGGGTGCAGTTACTTACAGCTTAGTTCTATTCTAACAAGTACTTGAATAGCTTATTAAAAACACACAGAATTTTTTAAAGTAAGGAAACCCGGCTGAATAAACAAGAAAGGTAAGGAAAGCACGAACAGGCCATTCCTGAAACGCACGCTGTGGAGTCTGGACACTTGCCAGAGAAGCTGCGGCCAGAATTAACAAGAAGGAAAGAACCGGCAACTGGACCCACGGCACCCACGGGTGAGCCGCGAATAACCAGCAGTTTCGCCGGGATGAGCTCTTTCCTAGTGTTTGGCCAGAGATAAAGGTTCCTTGTGAATTCTCAAAGACGACGTATGAAAGCAGCGAACAAGGCCCCAAACTAAACACGATAAGGGGGCTCATGGGACCTCTTCTCACGCTGCCCCTCTGTGGGGGCCCACGGCAGTCGTGGCACCGAGTGAGGGTGTGGGGAGCCCTGCGCTGCCCTCGTCTCGGGGGGCCGCCTTCTGGATGATGTGGGTGATTCTGGCCACACGGGCCACAGGCAGTGTCAATTGCATGGAGCTGGGTTTTCAGCTTTCGCCACAGCACTTCTGTGTCTGCCACGTCAAGACACAACACCCCAGGCCCCGCTGGGTGACAGCAGGGACAGAGGGGCCCTCAGCACACACCTGTGTGGGATCTGCAGGGCTGCAGAGAAAACACCTGAGAAATCGCCATCACCGAGAGAAAGCCCTACACACGCCAATGAGTTATTGTCACTCTCAGAAAATTACACGTAACCCAATCCCATCTTCTGTGTGTCCAGTTTCTGCCATTTGAACTTTAAAGAGTCTGCTAAGAAAAAGTATTATTCACAAAAAAAGCCTAAAAATATGAGAGCTATATAAAGAAAACAATCCGTCAATTTGACGCATTTTCAGGAACAATGCAGGTTATTTGTTCTCAAACTTCGGTGAGGTGGAAGATTGAGGCCCCGCCCTCAGAGAAGAGGACTCGGGGAGCACAGGGTGGGCCCAGGAACCTGCATTTCAAACCAGTCAGGGAAACAGTCGCCAAGGTGGATCTGTGGACCCAGCTTTGGGGACCACAGACGTGAGGATCATGTCCAGTTCTCCAACGTATCAAAAAGCAGTTATCACTTAATATCCTAAATTTCTTATTAAAATATATGCACACAGATAACAGATATATACTGCTTCGTAAAATGTCGCATTTGTAAATAATAACCAGTGCATGACATAGACATTAGGTACTGAAAAAACCACTACCAGCCTTACCTAGATAAGCAGAATTCCAATGTTTTCTTAAGTACTTCTCGGGGGTCTTCCTGGCTTTCTGGTTGAGACTCATTTCCTCCTACATAAAAGTAATGATCAATTCAGGAAAATGGCTTAAAATTTACCAAGCAGAAAATTCAATACAACAAGTCTAGTGTTTTTAATGTATAGATGAACACAGCTACATGAGTGTATAGAGAATAAGAGAAATGCAATTATTTTACCCACTAAAAAAGTGAATCATGCAAAAAACAAAACAAAACCAAATTCCCCCCTTTCCCCCTAGACACAAGCAACACATTTTAGAAAAACAATTTGTTTAGAAGGGGCCTTTATCACAAAACACAGAGTACAAGCTTAGGCTACTGCCTTGCCTCACCGTGGAAAGGATTTTCAGGTGACCTGCAAGAACACAGACACCAAGCAGCAACGCAACAGAAAGGGGAAAACTACAACAGGAAAAAGGCAGATGCAGGCAACAAGCCAAGGCCGGGGTCACAGATGTACCGGCCGCGCGGGCCCGTTTCTACACCAGAGGCTCAAGTCTGCCTTTGTGTTCCCAGCTAGCCAAAGCAGCAAGAAACGGTCCTGTCACAGGAACCTCACCAGAGAGCCGCAAACACACCAGACCCTGAGAGGACACACGCGCTGGTTCTAAGTGCCAGAAGAAATGTCCCACGAGAAGATGCCGGGGGGGAGCGGCTGCAGGCCATCCCAGGCCCACGCTGCACGAGCTGGTATTTCGATAACGTTGGGACAAAAGGTGATGGAACGCTAACACGGAGTATTTTCCCTTTGCTCCTATACACGTTAGCAAGGCACGCTACCAACACATGTCCCTCACGTCACACAGGTGACACGCCAGCAACACGAGAGACACGTGTGTCTCGGAAGCCAGAGGTGAAGAGCAGGAACAGGCGACGCTGAAGTGGGGGCATCGGACACACCAGGACAGAGAGTTCGTGTCAGCGTCAGACAATCCACTCCCACCAGCAAAAAGAAAACAAAACCACGGGACTGCGCGAGACCGAAGGCCGAATGCACACCCTGACGCCGTCCTTCGTCCAGGCCTCTTCTGCGCTGTCGTGTAAATTCGCTTCCACCCACATCCGGCAGCTGCGTGCTGAGCATCTCTGCCCAGGCGCCGAGCGGGCACCGTGCACGCAGCCTAGATGAGGCACAGCCCCTGCTCGCACGAGGCCGGACGACAGACCCCTCACAGGAACCAGCTGACACAGTTCCCGGAGAAGCTGGCACGGAGGAAGGAACCCAAGACCCAGGACCCAGGACGCAGGACAAGGGGGAGCCGCAGGCACAGGGGCCAGCGCAGCCGAGGAGCGGGGACCGAGCAGTGAGAGACGAGGTCAGAGAGGGCAGCGCGCGTGAACCAGACCAGGTAGGATGTTAGGGTTGTACCCTGAACGTGTGCACAGGAAACCAATTCGGGGTGACATTCTGGAAAGATCTCTCTGGTTCCATGGTACAGACAGGTGGATGTAACGCTGCTCGGGACTCCCGTTACAGGTGGTGCTGGGCCAGGGAGAGGAAGAGAAGAGGCCCCAGCAGCAGCGCAAGGAGGAAGCGCAGGACACAGCCGTGCAGCTGGTGAGTCGGGAAGACACGGGAGAAGGGGAAGGTGGGGGAGAAGGGTCCCGCGCTGTGACCCCACACAGCAGAGCCAGGCGGTGAAAGTGAGACTCTACCCCCAGGCCCGGCCACACGGGGTCCCGGGAGAGACAGACGAGACAGCTCCAGGGCAGCGGAGGGGACAAGCTGCATGCACGAGGGCGCGGGAGGCGAGGAAAGGGCACAGAGAGCGCAGACCGCTGTCCCGAAGCGTCCTGCTGGGGGATGGACTGTCCAGGCGGTTTCACGTAAGGTCAGAGACGGCACCGCCTTAGAGTGACAGGGAACATCCCAGCCACGCGGGACAGCCACGGCCTGGAAGACCAAGGGGTGAGGGGCCGAGACCTGGCGCAGTCAGTGAGGGGGCTGCACCGGGAGACTGGGGGGCGGGGGGCAGTTGGCGAGACGCAGGCCATAGCCTGCACCAAAAAATGAATAAAACAAATGAAACGAGTTTTCCAGACCTGAGCCATCAGGCAACAAAGGACCTGAGTCCCTGAGAGACGCTGACACCCGTGAGGTCATCCTAGATGGACCCACTCACTGCCTGGGAGGAAGTCCCAGGGTGTGGCCCAGGAAGTGGCAAATCAGGAGGTAACCCAGCGGGCGGCTGAATGGAACAGACAAAGGGAATGCAGGGACCAGGAGGCTGCCGTGCATAGACACACGGGAGGTGTTCAGAGAGCAGTAAAGGGCCCTGTCAAGCAGTCGGCCAAATTCTGCTCAGAGCGCAGGTGTGATGACGCTACGCAAGGCTCTGGGATGAACCACCGTAAAAGACGGGAAGTATCGGTATCTGTCACTCGCATGCCCGCCCCACTGGTGGACTAGGAAACCTCCTATTTCAAGGAGCACTGCCCCTGTGGTGGGGAATGACGGGCCCCACACTGAGCACTGCTCCACTCGGGCCTAACGAATGCTAAAAACAAGGCAGGAAAGGATCACACTGTTTTCAAGTAACTTAGCTACATCCCAGGACAAAATCCAAAGTATTTATAGAAATACAAAAATATTAGGCACCCAACGAAGTAAAACTCAATTCCACCAGACGCTGCCGTGCGTGCAAAGCAGCAGGAAATGTGAGGCGCTAGCGTGCAGACCTGCGATCGACAGGACAACCCAGACCCACAGACGCTGGAGGTAACTGACGAGGACACAGAAACCGCTGTCACAGCCGAATCGCACACATTCTAAAAGGTAAAGACGTGGAAAATTACAAAAAACCCAATTAGAACTTCTAGAGATGTAAACTACAGTGTCTGATATAAAAACACTGGATGAAATTAACAACAGGTGCATTACAGAAGACCGCTGAACCCGAAGAAACTTCCCAAAATCAAACAGAAATGAGGAGCAGACATGGTGGAGGATCAGACGGCCCAGGAACAGCACCGAGCAGCTCAGTGGCGTGTGACAGGCGTGCACTGTCACAAAATGGGAGGCCCTGACTCAGAAAACCTGTACACAGGAATCAACAGCACCAAAGAGAGGGACCACACGGATAAACACACAGGCTTGTGTTCTTGTTACAAGTAAATCTCTTTAAAAAACAACTGGCTTTTAAATAAAAATAGAAACAATGTCCTGTCGGTTTACGATGTCAGTAACTGCAAAATGCATGACGACGACAGCATCGACGGCACGAGAGAGGCGGCAGTGGCTGCTCTGATGTTGCTCTGTGTGAAGCGGGAAAGTACGGCACGAAGGTGGTCCCTGCTCGCTAGGGAAGTGGAGTATGCATGCCAAAGCAGCCACCAGAACAGCAGAACGACGGAGAAGGGGACCGATCCAAAGGAAAGCAGAAGGGACTGAAGAAGAGGAGTGACGCGAAGAACAGAACATGCCGCCGCCCGGGCCTGGCTGCCCAGGACACTCTCCGGGAGCAGCCAGGGCTCCCCGGACGAACGCCGATCCCGGGGCTGCAAGAGAAGAAACCAAACCGCACCAGAGCCCCACAGGGAGCCCTGTGCCGAGGGCGCATGTCAAACGGCCAAAGCCAGAACAATCTGAGCAAGAAAATAAAGTAGTGCTGGATTGTAACCCAAAATATAAAATAAATACGCTTGAGTCCACACTGACATAAATGAACGGTTGAATAGACAAATAAACGAGGGAGTGGAGAGAAATCTCCTATGCATCAGAACTTCAAACAATTTACACAGGTTCTCTGCCCGCCTGGGGGCACCAAAAAGCCTGCTCCTCCAGTGTGGGCTGTGCGGGGGCCACCCCCCAATGGTACAATGTGGAAAGGGCCAGAAAGAGTGACTCGCAGCTGAGAAGCTGACAAACGCTGCCTCCGCCAGGTGGCCGGGCCAACCCTGCAGGGGTAAGTCCTGCCGACCCTGTACACCCTTGACAGGACGTGATAAAAACAGTGCTTCATCTCTGTGGTCTTTCTCCCTAACCCTAGCACTAGTACCGTGACGAGAAAAACGTCAAATTCCAGTAGAAGAGTATCCGACAAAATTCTGGAGCGTGCCCTTCAAAACTACTGTGTCAAGATTATCAAAAACAAGGAAAGTCTGAGACACTGTGAGAGCCACGAGGAGCCTGAGGAGACACAGCCACTGAGGGTGACGTGGTGTCCCAGCTGGGGTCCCACAGCAGAAAAAGGACAGTGTGAAAATGTGTCACTGCCGACAGGTTCAGTGACTGTGGCAAATGTATCTATTAACGTGAGATGTTACTAACAGGAAAAATCGGATGCAGGGTGTATGGGAACTCCACACAATCAGTCTTCTCAACTGCTCTGAAAGCCTACAGCTATTCTAGAACGAACAGCATGCTGACAGACCCAAACCGAACCAAAGCAATTACCACACTAAATATTAACATTCCAAAACCTGAACTAGAAGATAGAGACCAAAACATTTGATTTAAAAAAAAAAATAGCAAGACCCAAACGTCACATTATCTATAAAAGTTACTTTATTAAATGTAAATTTAATACGATATCAAATAGATTAAAAGTAAAAGAATGGAAGAAGATACGTCATGCTAAAACTAGTCAAAAGAAAGCTGGAGAGGGCCGGGCGCGGTGGCTCACGCCTGTAATCCTAGCACTCTGGGAGGCCGAGGCGGGCGGATCATTCTGAGCTCAGGAGTTCGAGACCAGCCTGAGCAAGAGTGAGACCCCGTCTCTACTAAAATTAGAAAGAAATTAATTGGACAGCTAAAAATATATACAGAAAAAATTAGCCGGGCATGGTGGCGCATGTCTGTAGTCCCAGCTACTCGGGAGGCTGAGGCAGGAGGATCGCTCAAGGTCAGGAGTTCGAGACCAGCCTGAGCAAGAGCGAGACCCCGTCTCTACTAAAAATACAAAGAAATTAGCTGGACAACTAAAAACATAGACAAACTTAGCCGAGCACAGTGGCGCATGCCTGTAGTCCCAGCTACTCGGGAGGCTGAGGCAGGAGGATCGCTTGAGCCCAGGAGTTGGAGGTTGCTGTG